AGCTCATGGGTGGCATTAGGGATATTTCAGGACAAGAGTCACACATCAAAAACTCATTATGTTTCTTTTAATATATGTAATAATTAAAAACATGGCTCTACATGCTGGATTTAATGAAATCCTCCCCTTCTGGCAGGCCTGCACAAGCCAAAATGAAGCTTAAAATGAGTGGACAGTGACCCTTCAGAAGAATGGACGTTGAAAGCGTTTTTGTACTTGCAGGGCGAGGGGAGGGGAAGGGACACAGGACCCAGGGCTCTGTTTTGCTGGGAAGCATGACGACATCCAGGAAAGAAGGGAACAATCTCAGCCTTCTGGCCTAAATTATCTGCTAACACAAATAATTAAATTCCAGGGACCACACTGCTCTGGCGCCACTAAAACAAGGGGGAGGCCCAGCCCCAGCGCTGTGCGAGCAGGTGGCAGCTCGCGCCTGACCCGCTCGGGATGTTCAAGTGCGATGTACAAAATACTGATGCTCTCCAAGGCAGCGAGCATCGCTCACAGTATCGTGGGAAGTTTTTAATGGCTCACTCAAGGCAAGGCCTCTGAAATGTTTATATTAATACTTACATGTTGGATAGCCACTCATTGGGTCTCAGCTGGAAACCAGTCCAAACAGCTGAGAAACATCTGGCTGCTAACCTTGGACAACATCTAATCTGGTAGCCCAGGGATTTAAGAGGTCTCTTTGGAGGGACAGAAGTTTGGCAGATGCCTTACCAAGATCTCTGCTCTGCTACAGCTGTTTCTCAAGTCCCACTCACCGCTCCGGGATGACACTTCCAGCCGGTGCACATCCCGATCAGTCTACACAGCGTCTCAGGCTCGACGGCTGCAAAAAGCTGTAACTGGATATTACTCGTACTTCCCAGGAATACTCCTGAAGGTGTGTGACTGTGTGTGCTCCCCACGCTGGACCAGAGAGAGCAGCTGTTTGCCAGCTCACCAAAGCACACAGCTCCCGCGCCTGCGTGCGCAGGATCGGTGTTCCAGCATCCCCGCTGCTCCGTCCCCCGTCCGCCTGCGCTCACCACCAGCAAACAAGCACGTACCTGCCCCTCGAGAGCGTCCACTGCAAGGCCAACAAAAATCCTGTTCCTTTTAGATCTGGAGACCACTATCAGGACAATTATGAGCACGTGGGTTTAAAGCAGCTCTATGCAAACAGCGAGTAGAAGGGAAAGTGGACTCATCATTTCTGATGAAGATAGCTCAAAAGTTTGCTTTTCTTTCTAAAACTCCTGCTTTTTTACTTTTTTTTCTCTTTTTTTCCTCTTTTTTTTTCCCCCAGAAGAAACTTCAGTATCCTGAAACATTCTTTGGTGAGTGGAGAGCTAATGAAATAAGACAACATAGAAGAATAGATGTTGAGCAACACAGAGGGGGAAGGGACTTTCAGACAGACCATTTGACATTTAGTCTCCCCTCCTGTCACCCACCCAGGTACCGCAGGGCTTTCTAGACATGTCAGGGCAAAGCCATCCAGAACCTGACTCAAGAGGCAGAAAATTAGGACAGGACCCACATTTCTGAGAACCCTTTGTAGGCTTTATTTAAAAGGAGATAAGGATGAAAAAGGTGACAAGATGCTTGACAGATATAAAATGATGATAATCTAGCTTATCTCCTTATCTTTCATGTCGTCTTCTGCTCTTTGCGTTTTTGTTACAACAAATGTGGGAGACATCAGGGAAAATGTAAAGGCACATGCACCAAGGATGTAGCACCAAGGGAGGACTAGGAAGAAGATGCTCAGTAAGGGCTAAGAAAGTCTCTTTCCTAGCAGAGGCTGAGAGTGCTGGCTCCTGTCCTACAAAGCACTTAAGCATGTGCCTAACTTAAATTTGACTTCACTGGGGCTCTTCACAGGCTTAAAAGTTAAGCATATTCTCCAGCAATCTGCTGCAGCAAGAGCAGAGCAAAGGAGAAGCTATTAAGGGACCTGAATCTTGGTCAACGGCAAGGTTAGCATGCTTTTGGAAAGCACCCTAGCCAAAGATTAATGCAATACGGCAATTTCCACTGACTTAGAAAAACTCTAAGGCATCAGAAAAAGCTTCTTAAATATAAAATAATATGTAAAAAGTTTTTTTAGATATTAAGAATATCACTATCAAATTCTCTTCACCTTCTTTCAGCTCAAGGTAGGTAGAGCTTGGAGCAGACACATCTGTACAGGTATGTGCAGAACTGGAACTCCTTTGTTTCACCATGAGCTGGTGCCAGCTTGGAAAAAAATACTGAATTCACTGCACTGTTTCTTGATGTAGAAAACACTGTCCTGTAGGTAAAGTACCGACCTCAAATGCCTAAAAGCCAATTCCCACAAACTGCAAGGTAAGTCACAAGTGGCTCCGACAATTCTGGCAAGACACTACAAAGGCTGGTATTTGGCACAGGAGTGAAAGCATGTCCCACTGCGTATCTCTGTTGAGTTTGTTTTCCTCATTAAAATTGGCGTAAGTTAACCCTGCTCCTCTGCATGGCATCTGCCTGGCAGCGGCCCAGGGAGCTCTGGGATCAGGGCTCCGAAGCAGCGCAGCGATAAAGCACCAGCACAGCCCAGCCCGGCCCTCGGTCGGGCTCCTTGCCTAAGACCGATGGGCACGGCCGCGCTCACCAGCTGCATTTCCTGCTCCGTGTCCTTGGAAAACTCCGGGGTGAACCACAGGCAACGACGGCCTCTCAGAGAGCAGCTGATGACACTTTGGGGCTTAAAAGTTATTACCCTAATGACGGTGAAAGAAACTTAAACGTTCAATCCAAAGCACCACAAAACGTTGTAAGAGTACAGAAAAGGCATATTTAAGCATATAGTCCCTACATACAGACACAGAGCTTAATTACAACAAAACAAGAAGCAAACAACAATTAGTCTTTATTAACAATTAAAATCTCACTCCGGTGCTGGTTTTGCCCCTAGCCAAGTTAACGCCTGTACAGTGAGAAAGTCATGATAAACAGGCTTTTAAAATTGAAATTGATTCGGGATAAATATGAAAAGTGGTTCCCACAAGTGGACTTAACATTTAGATTGAGCAGCAGTTGCACCTTACTCAGACTCAGTCCTTGTAAAGCTTGCTAGCTCCCTCTACTGCCTTCACACTACGAGCCGAACAGGAAAACAAAGCCAATCCTGCTGCACACATCCCCAGACCGCGCTGGCAGGTGAGGGGCTTTCCTGGATGTCCCCCTCACGTCTGGGGCAAGGACGGCTCCTGGGGCAGCTGTGGGAAGCAGCGTGGGGCAGCCCTACGGCCACCTCCTGCCCAAATCTGTCTCCTCCCCAAGAGCTGCGCCAGCCACCTCCAAGGAAGAATGTTCATTTTATGGCCAATCCACTTAGTTTATTTATTTTCCTTTCATATCTTAAGAGACACCGATTCAGGACATACACGGAGGGTCAGCAGGGATCAGCTCAACACTCTGCCTTTAATGCAACCGGAGGCAGGATAAATACAGGTGAGACACTGTTTGACTTGCCCACCTCACTCCTGAAGCACAAACAAGCCCCCAGGCTTTGAGATGACCAGTCCTTCCACTACACAGCCTGTGGGTCACATAACCCGACAAAGCTACACCACACAGATCCAGTGCCAGCTGATTCTGAGGGTGTCATTCTTCCACTACTGCTCCCACCTGTTGGCGAGTGGATCAGCAGTGCAGCGGAGCACTGCCGTATCATATCATAATCATATCATATCATATCATATCATATCATATCATATCATATCATATCATATCATATCATATCATATCATATCATATCATATCATATCATACCATAGAATGGCCTAGGCTGGAAGGGACCTTAGAGATCATCTAGTCCAACCTCCCTGCCATGGGCAGGGACACCACCTCTCGACTAGACCAGGTGACACATGGGGACCAGAGGGTGTCCAACGAGTGCAACTCCCAGGTGAGAAAGTTTACAGTGAATCCCCCTTTTTGTTTTTTTAAAGCATCACCCAACTTTGTATGGCCAACACCGTGAACAGATGGCTCTTGCCAGCACAGCTCCCAGCAGAGCAGGACCCTGGCCAGGGTGCAATGCTCTAGCCTGTACATCTTGCAAAGCAAAACAGTTTTGGTGTTTTAAAATTGTTTCTTCAAATAGGAAGGTTAGGGGAAGGCCCAAACATGCACCAACCATACCCTCCTGAACAGGGCAAGGGCACTCTTACAACAGCTCTGAAAAACAGAGACAATCAAGCAGCACGCTGTAATTAATTAGCATTATTCCAGCTCCCATTCAACATCTTCAGGCAGCACGTTATTTTAAATAAACACACACACAATGCTGACAAAGTATGAGTTGCATTTTCTCCATAGATACCCTCCAAGCTACCAAAGGATTGAGGAGTATTCCAGGATAGAAGCCAGCAGCAAGTTTCGTAATGTTTCACAAAAGGTCATTCCCTTTTTCATTCCTAACCCAGGCAGAACCTTGTTTCACCACAGTGCTGAAGTGAACGCACCACGAGTACCTTCTGGCAAATCCTCTGAAGTGGAGATGCCTTAACTTGGAAAAGGCCAAAATTTCAGAGCCTCGTTTTTATCCAGATTTGGAGAGAAGGTCAGCTTTTCTACGCTTCATCATTTGAGGGAAAACAGGTAAAGTTCCAGGCTGCGAAGTTCTCCTTGAACTCGACTGACAGCGGCACACGCAGCTGCGCGGGGATCTGATTTCCGCAGGACTGCAGCACATCAAGGTCATCGCAACGACAGAGCACCTTCAGGCAGGTATCTAGGAATTCGTTTCAGCAGTTCCTCAGCATCATGTAACGTTACCGACTGCCAAGCCTGCGGGGTTCTGAGGTTTAAACTAAAACTAAAGATTCTCCTTGGCACAGCAGCAGCAGCTGGATAAAGACAATTGCCTTTTGCCACCAGTTTACGTACTGTTAGCTAAACGTGATCTGTAGGAAGATACTTCCAACAAATCAAGAATTCCATAAGGGATCAAAATTCTAAACATAAATACAATTAAAGCCTTCTAATATTAATGCACACTTTTTATTATATTAAAATCAGGCAATGGTCTGATACAATAAAAAGGCTGCTTATGGAATACTGTTATGTTAAACTTTAATTACAGAGGATGTTAAATCCTTACAACTAATATTCTCCTCCAAAGAGTTAATGGAAACATCAATTGTTCATTGACGTGATAGCTGCTGCTTTAAAATGTGTTTATTTGTACTTTTTTTTCGTTCTTTTTTTTTCTTTTTTTACACAAACACTGTTTTTTTTTCATAAAACTTGGGACACACTAGGTCGGTTGTATGTAAGCTTGCATCCACATTTCAGCAGTTAGTGGTCCAAAACAGTAAACCGGAAAAGGCAGTGATTTGCCAGGATGCAAAGCCAACAAAGGTCCTTAATCTGCTGTGTGCACTGCTTCCCCAAAACCGTCACCAAAGAGATTTCTAAGACTTAGGCCATCCTAATAAAATCTACCACACTGATGTGATTTGTCTGTAGCTGTCATATCTTCAGAAGGGCCAGACAGAAGTGCAACATTTCCTTAACTAACATTCTTGGGTCAATCAGAAGCACCAAAATACACCTATTTGAGCTGGAGCACGTGTTCAGAACCTCTCTGTGCAGCGTTTCCCCATTAACATTTGGCAGCAGAAGATTTCGGCAATCCTGGTAAATTACTGCTCTTTTCCCCACGTCAAAAGCCTATCTAATAACATCAGCCGTGGCCAGCTGGGTGGTGTGGCAGCAGTGCTGGAGGGACAGGGAAAATCCAAGATTGCGAGCAGGATAGATACTCTTGTTTCCCAGGCTGGTGAAGACTAAATTTGTTGCAAAACAATAAGCAGGAGGGAATATGTCAAGTTATTGCCCCAACACTTACCCCTGCCGTCGAGGGGTGAGAGGAATCACAAAGAGGGGCAAAAAGAAAGCAGCACCCCCGCTAAAAAGAGAGGAAGAGGGAAAAGATTAAAAGAACCCTGAATCCCTCACCCGAAGCCAGTGAGGGGGACCAGGAAGAGAAATACAATCTATGCCTTGGCCAAAGGGAAGAAGGAAAGCTTGCCCCAGATTATCAGGGGATTTAAAAAAAATAAAATAATAAAAACCCCAAAACAACCACAGTCACATTCAGCCTTTACTAGAGATAGCACAAAGGGAGGGATGACTGAGGTTAGGACACATCCCCATTAGTAGTCCATAAAGCCCAGTGTAGTACTGGAAGCAAAAACCTTTGTGTCTACTCTAATAAATAGCCCTGAGCTTCGACTCTATTGCAAAAGACAGAAAAAGAAAAAACAAAACGAAACAAAACAACAAACCAGGCCAGACACACAGCAAGGTGATTGTGGGATGTATGCTTTCACAGTTAAGTTAGATGTGCCACACGGGTCTTGACAGTAATAAATTTAAATAGACTTTTCCTGATACCAGAAGTTCAGCTATGTGGACAGTGGTTACACGACAGGATTATTTGTTATAGCACAACTTATATTTCAAATGAAAAAAAAAAATTAGTATCATTTACAGTATCTCAAGAAAAACTTCCTTTGAATGGGAACTTCCTTTCCAGTATTTTGAGGTCTACAAGATGCATCTAGAAAATTTACTACTGTGGAAAATGAAGACAGCTTAAATTGAATAAGGGGGGCATGTTTGTTTTTTTTTTCTTTTTTTTTTTTTAATTAATTGCTGTAACATTGTCCTTCAGGTGGCTGAGGAAGTTTCATATTTTCTTTAGACATCATTAGACGCCGAAGCTCTTGCAGAACAACTTTGATACTATAAGAATTCTGCCATTTTGCTAGGACTGATATGGCTCTGGGGTCCACCTAAAATAGACAAAAAGACCATTCCTGTCAGAATTCATAGGTTTCATACACTTAAGTCCCCCCGCCACCCTCCAACTAAAGACTCTAGAAGGAATCCAAGTGGGAGAAACCAAAGAAAGCAAAAGCAAGCAAGTGGCTTCCTAAAAGCACAATAAATCCCTGCATGATGCAACTATTTGTGAGTTGCAAAAGGGGAAGAAAAATAAATTCTACTCTTCCAATTTCAGAACATGCTTGGCTGGTACGCTCCCCGTCTGACCCCTTCCCTTCTCCTCACAGTAAATGGCACCAGCAAGCACTAAGCAAGCTGCAAGGATACACAAAGCATTAATTCGAAGCTACACACAACAGCAACATTAAAATGAATAAAACAAAAAACTTACCACTCCATTAGAACTATTTACTCCATTCATATTAATTTTTGTTACAAATCTTACAAACGGAGGTGCTTCTGGATACTTAGGTCCACATTCTATTTTAAGGCTGTATATTCTGTTTTCATAAATGGTCTGAGGGGAAAAAGAAAGGGTGGAACAATTACATCAGGTGGTTCGTTAAGTGTTTGGTTAAAACAGTGGTTACTTTAGGGACCTGCAAGCTAGGAAACATAAGAGCAACTATTTACATACTACACTGGTGACCTCTGGTTTAGGTTCATTTTATAAGACTCAGAGTATCAAATGTTACCTCTTCAGGATAATAAATTCTACCAGTCTTTTTTTTTAATATAAAGAATGAAACTGGTATTGTTTCCCATTCATTAACTGAAATGGCTTTTTTTAATCACCATATAGCTCAGATATCTACTTTTCAACCAATCTTTATAAAGCAGCTTTGTTTTATCAGTTTACTAACCAGACATACTACCTCGAAATTGAAGCCACAGCTTTAGCTTAGGCAACTATCTAAAGTCAGCTTGTCCTAGAACTGCACTTGAAAAATATTTTTTGGTCATAAACCAATGTGCTAGTCCTCAGAAAGGGGAATGCTCCAAGATTCAACACATTGCAAAGCACCTTCTGATCCCAAACAGCATTAGCACTTTGACTCCACCACAGCAACACTCTGTTACACTGAACTGCTAATACGAAGCCGGGTTCATGAGTTTTTCACTAACCAACCAAGGAGTATAGAAAAAGATGTTACAAGGCTACTTTGATTCTTCAAGATTTGAAATTAGAATAAATGACAATTAATGTTATGCTGCACTCCTATAATAACTATTTTTGATGAGCTGATCTGGTGCAGCCTGGCACACAGCTCTGGTGAAGCTGGGCGACGCAGGGAGCCAGCAGAGGTATGCAACAGGAACACATCATCATGGGGAAGTTCAGGCAGACAGGCTCTCCAGATTTAGTGCTTCTGACACAATTTCCTGCACCTTCAACACTGCAACGAACATTGGGGTCACAAGGCAGCGACTATGAGCAAAAAACCCACGGGGATGTGTGAGCACAGAAGCCCAAACCAGCCCCTGCACCCGTGGCAGCCGAGCACGAGGGCTCCGCCAGGATGTCAGGATCCGTTGCCCAGTGCATAGAAAAATTCTCAGTAGAACTCCACCCAATTCCTTTCGAGCATCTGTTATGCCCCTGAATGCCTTAATACTTCCCTTAATATTAACAAGCTTTTTGATGCAAACCACTACCACAAATATAAGAGCTGAATTCCTGATTCAGTGGCTTCTTATCTGTGCAAACAAAGCGGCTTTAAGCCAGCTGCAGCCACCCGCGGTGGGACCAGCGCCCGGCCCGTGCCGCTGGCAGCGAGACCTCGCCCACGCTCCCCCAGCTCTCTGCCAGGCAGTCCTTCCGATGCTCAGCCAGGGTGGTGACAAACTCAGTGCTGTCACAAAGTTTTGGGGGGGAAACAAAACCATCCCTCAGCTCTGCTGGGCCTGCCCAGGTCTCCCAAGTCCCTTGGGCATGGAGCAACTAACACCCAGGGGCTCCCGTGGGTTTTCAGGGTCTTTGCAAATAACCGCACGCTGGGAAGGGTGGTCAATGGAAAGCCTTGACCGTGCGCCTGTCTGCAGCCAACACAAACTACGTGCAGATAAAGCCGAAGCTTTGACAGCGCCGCTGTTTTAAATAGCTTGTATAAACAAGATGAATCACCGGCTGCGAAACCATCCACACAAAGTCCGGGAAGGAGAAGAGAGCTGCCATGTATGGGGACACTCAGAGCAGCAGCACGGATCTATCTTTGCACCACGGTTCATTTTTCCCTCCAAGACATCCAAAATATGATTCTTCCACCTGCTACAGCATGACTGCTTTCTAATCAGAAGGAAATAGGATTTGAAATTTTTTTCCAGAGCCAGTACTCCCACATCTCATTAAGGAAAAAAATGGTAGTAATATAACTGAGTGTGAACAGTGCTAAAAGCAGGGCAGCCACTCGGAAACGAGGCATGACTGGAAGTTCCCAGAATCTCTTTCAAGACAGCCTATTGCTTTTACGCAGTAAGCTCAAAAGAAGTTAATACACTTTTGAAAAAAAAATAATCTGTATTCATAAGTGTGTCATACAACAGAGGCAGAGCTGAATCATCTTTTGTGATAGTCCTCTAGCCTTCGTTAGCAGCATGACATGAACCACAAATTTCTATCACGGCTGACAAGTCAGGACACGCCTGTTTGCACATTTCAGTTTCTATTTAATTTTCTAAATTAGATTTCAACGTTGCTTAAATTTTCCATAAAGCGTATGCACACAGTGAGCTTTCTTCACAGTTTTAATGCAGCCTCATTAACACTCCCCTAATGTTCTAATATCAAATGCTGTTCTAGAAAATCATCTGGGCATATCATAAATCAAATAAACTGATCACAAATGGGGGGATGTTGACAAATGGCAGACAAAAAGTAAACAACATTTCTGGGTGAGATAGAAAATACTGCACGTGTAATGCATTGTAAATTCCTGGACTGCCTCATTATCTGTCAGAAAAGCCAGAATGAAAACCTACTGGACAGTGGCATAAGATAACATCTACTACTGCAGGAAGGAGAATCAGCTACTTGCGCTCTGCTATAAGGGTACTAAGGGAACAGAACAGAGATAAATGGTGACACTGGAGACAAGTTTTGTTTTTAGAATACATGCACACATACAAAGCACAATGAAGTCCTCAAGGTCACAACCACAGTGGAGATCCACAGTTGAGTATGACTTGGGTGGAGAAGAGAGAGAATGCAACAATACTACCACAAAGACCAGGAGCACTACAAGAAGCTACTTCGCAAGAGAATATTCCAAAAAGAAACTTAAATCATTAAAATCTGAGTTTCCCAAGTTAGCTGAAACTCTACAGGAGCAAGTCAGTACTGCTGCAACCAAAACTCACCCATAAACTCAAAAAGAAACAGCAGAAAGACTGGCAATACTGAAACATCCACGTTTTACCTACATTAGCTCCATATGTAATCTCACTAGCCAAAGGATTTTAAACCTTGCTGTATTCAAGAGTACAGGATACTAGAATCCTGGAATCTCAAAAGTTATGTCTTAATGGATCTGTAAATATAAAGCAGACATGTAACAGAACTAGCTGGAGAAAGGCACGAAAAATATTCCAAATTATAAGCAAAAAGACATATAGATACACACACCTCACTATTACATGGAACTTGAAACTTCAGCATAAATCACTTGCTAAAGTGTTTTTTCACTCACACATTTTGTTTCCTTTCTACTTCAGTGGTTTGATTAGGGGAAGAAAAGGAGGAAGACAAAAAAAGTAATAGTATGATATTAATATTAAGTGGGTACTTACTCTTGGAGGTCCAATAATCATTCCTGTCCATCTTGTAAGTGTCATATCTTCATCATCTTCAAGGCCCCAGCTAACTGTCCCATCACCTACTCCTTTCTGACCTTCTTCAAGTTCTTCCAGCAGACGAAAATTACGAGGAACTTTTACTCCTGAAAACAACCAGAAAAATTTTGAGAAATCTAGTAAAGAAATAAAGCTAGAGTAATTTCACTTACACTTTTAAGAATTCTACAGAAAACATTCTGGGTAGAAACATAAAAATATCACTTTTCTTGAATGACAATATTTCAAGACTATGAAAAAGATATTCCCATATTTAGCTTGGATTTTAGAAACAAACTTAATGTATCTGCAATTAAATGTGCTAGAAGTCGGACAGGCTAGATATTAGGGTAAAACAACTATCAGTAAAAGGAAAGGAAATCTCTGCCCATTCAGAGATACATACGGATTATGGAGCTCTAATTAGCGCTGGTCTATTGGATTTATAGTATAAAAACGTAGAAGATTCTACAAAATGACACCAGGAGAGGCATGACATCACTCAGGTCACTCAGAGCTTTTAAAAATACCATTCAAAGCAAATAAAACTCTTTCATAACATTAGCAGGTTAATCTGAAGTTAATTTAAGCGGGCTTGTGCCAGCGGCAGGCCGCATCCTTTGTACTTATGACCTCCTCCACCACTTCAGCATTTTGGAATTGCTGGCACATTTATCCTCAAAACACACAGCAAAACAGGAAAATGTTCTTATGCCCATTACATTAACGGAAAACAATGGCACGGTGAGCTTGGGTGACATACCCAAGGTCACACACTAAGTCTGTGGCAAAGGAGGATCCTGAACCCAGGCCACCAGGGACTTAATGACTCAGCCCTCTTCGGGGTATCTGCACCTCAGCCATCGCAGAATATAAACGGACTCTTGGCCACCACTTCTCTTTTGGCTGGGTTTGCCTGGTTTGGTACCAGGGGGCTACAGGGGTGGCTTCTGCGAGAAGCTGATGGAAGCTTCCCCCATGTCCCACGGAGGCAGTGCCAGCCAGCTCCAGGACAGACCCACCACTGCCAAGGGCGAGACCAGGGGTGATGCTGGGAGTGCCTCTGGGATAACACACTGAAGAAAGGGAAGAACCCCCCCAGTAGCAGTCAGAAGAGAGGAGTGAGAATATGAGAGAAGTAACTCTGTAGACTCTAAGGTTGGTGAGGAAGGAGGGGCAGGGGGGGGTCCACGCTGGGAGTGCCTCTGGGATAACACACTGAAGAAAGGGAAGAACCCCCCCAGTAGCAGTCAGAAGAGAGGAGTGAGAATATGAGAGAAGTAACTCTGTAGACTCTAAGGTTGGTGAGGAAGGAGGGGCAGGAGGTGCTCCAGGTGCTGAGGCAGTGATTCATTCCCTGGCAGCCCGTGGTGAACACCACGGTGAGGCAGGCTGTGTTCCTGCAACACATGGAGGTCCGTGGTGAAGCAGATATTCACCAGCAGCCCCTGGAGGGCCCCACACCAGCACAGGGGGATGCCCAAAGCAGGCTGTGACCCCATGGGAAGCCGGCGTTGGAGCAGGCTCTTGCCAGGACCCACCACCCCATGGAGAGAGGAGTTGGAGCAAATCTGCTGGCAGGACCCATGACCCTGCGGGGGGACCCACGCTGGAGCAGTCTGTGCCTGCAGGCTGCACTTCGTGGAAGAGGCTGGAGGAGCTCATGAAGAACTGCGGCCCATGGGAAGGACTCAAGCTGAAGTTCGTGAAGGGCTGTGACCCATGGGAGGGACCCCATGCTGGAGCAGGGGAGGAGTGTGAGGAGTCCTACCCTGAGGAGGAAGAAGTGGCAGAGATTACATGTGATGGACTGGCCACAAGCCCCACTCCCTGCTCCCCTGCACTGCTGAGGGTACGAGATGGAGAAAATGGGGAGTGAAGTTGAACCTGGGAAGAAGAGTAGGGGGAAGATATTTTAAGATCTGGGGGTTATGTTCTCATTATCTTACTCTGATTTGACAGGTACTAAATTAACTTTCCCCAAGCTGAGTCTGTTTTGCCCATGATGGCAACTGGCGAATGATCTCCCTGTCCTTATCTGGACCCAGGAGCCTTTTGTTACAATTTCTCTCCCATGCCCAGCTGGGGAGGGGAGTGATAGAACAGTTTTGGTGGGCACCAGGCATCCATCCAGGGTCAAACGACCACATGCTTCCAGGTACCTATATGAAGCATGTCTCCCTCCAACAGCAACAAAATTATTGCCAGGATATATTTAATAAAGTCATTTTCCCCCAACATGCAAAAAGGTTGCATTTCAGGTTTGGAGTTTACTCCCCAGTAGTACAAAGTTAACTTCTAACTAGCATATAATAATAGAAAATCATAATAAATCCCTTTTTTCACTGTTTCTTATTTAATAAAGCAGGAGTAGAACAGGAAATTAGCCTTTCAACATACAAAGTGAACCTAGCAAACTTCTTGGTCAGAAGGGAGCACTTCTAGCACGTTTAGGGCACCAAACTCTGAGGAAAGGGACCAAGGCCTTTGAAAATCATCTCTGTACCTGCTTGGCAATGCAGAAAATACAGAGGATCTAAGGCATTATGAAATGTAGCAGTGCTTAAAATCACATAACTCTGGTGGCTTGAAAATCCCCTTAAAATATATTAGTAATGTAAAGAAACTAAGTGTCAGTGATGATTTTGCTGCAGAATCAGAGTTGCCCAAATTTCATTCACTACAAAACAAGCCAAAAAGAAACTGAAAAAGCAAAGTACTAAAATAATTACGTTTTTTGGTCAATTTGATACACATCTAAAATAATCACATTCAAGAATATTCTGGGGCAACATGATTCAATAACATAGCTGTAGCAACAGTATGGAGAGAAACCTGGAATCAGAAAAGCAGTGTCAGAAGACGTCAGACCTGCACTGGCTACACCAAACCACCCATACAGGGACAGCTGAGCACGACTCCAACACAGCTCCAAGCCAAACGGACACCTTCGGCTCCCAGCGAGACTGTGCTGTTACCATGGCTGCTGAGTAATACAAATCATTGGCTGCGAAAGGAAATGAGTCAGTTGGGGCTGGCAAAGCTGCCACCGTAAGATCAACTGAGTTCCAAACCGTCAGTGGCACCAGGACCTCTTTGGGACCACTGTCACTTTCCCTGCAGGAGAAACTCGAGTGTATTACCTCCCTGTAAGTCTTAAAAGTATGAATGATGTATTCTGGGTACCTTAAGCATATGAACGTTCAAGTACTCTGAATCAGGACAGACTAGCCCCCTTATTTTTAATTAGATTCCCAGTGCTCTCCATGTTGTAGTTGGGGGAGGCAGAGAAGAGAGCAGTCTAGCTCCAACATAGGGTTAAGAGAGCTGAAGGACAAGAGACACAGATGGAGTAGGAGTTGAGGGGCAAGGTGCCACCTTCACTTACACACACACACACAGCCACACTACCTATTTCCCTATTTTTGCTGCAGCAGACGAACGGGAGAGCTGGAGATGGGGAATGACTCACGGCTGCGCGATGCCTGAAGCTGCTGCCTGGCCTTCAGCCTTGTCAGCTGGCGCCCAGGGAAAGAAGCAGCCAGGGAAGAAGGACAAACAAAAGACAAACAAAAGGTCCTTCTGGAGGGTGAACTCCACCCTTCGGTCTGACACAGCAGCTCTTCGACAATGCAGGTGATGCTGCAAAGGAAACCGTCCGTGGCTATTCTTAGAAACCCAACCTGAGCCTCTCCGCGCTCATAGAGGCGACAAGCTGAAGCCAGCGGAAGACTCGCCTTGAATGTGCTGAGTTGCCAAAATATACGCGCTCTTCAGGACCACAACATCATGACGCTTAACTAGCACCTGATAATATCACTTCATATTTATCAGCAGTGTGAAGATAATTTACTGATGTTTACTTGAGCCAAAACATTTTAGGAATCAGCTTTAAGGTAAGCAGGCACAGACCACGCTCCAAAGATGGAAACCAAAAATATTGCCCATCTACCCTTCCTCTGAGCATCACGGACTCCGTTCACTGAGCCAGGCAGGAATCCTGTGTGAAGAAAATTAAGTGATCATGTAATTAAAAACTCCATCAACATGTATGTATTTGAGGAGGCCAGAACAACGGCTGGAAGGTAGCCTTAATTATGGTATTTGCCAACCAGAGCTAGGTTGGGCTTTACAACCTTACAAGAAGCGAAGGCAACTTGATTTCCAAGCTCTCCCCAGATACTGCTGCTCTGATTCAGCATGAATCAGAGCCATAAAAGAGTCACACAGGACATCAGAGTTCTCTGACAAGTCTGAGGTCTACAGCGAGCTAACTAGTTACATTGCGCATCGCTCCTATCACATGGGAAAAGTTAACATAAATGATTACTAATTCCACAGCAACTGCTCACTTGTGAGCACCACAGGAGCATCAATGGCAAAGGAAAAGTGAAGTACATATACTTGAGCTTTTATGCACTGCACAGAAAACAAAATGATCATGGGAGATGACTGAGCACTTTACGACAAATCACTCTGTCCAACAACATTGGTGCCTTCTCCAAGTATTTTACCCCCATGCTAAAGCTCAGAGGTGTAACACAGAAGACCAGCACCTCAGCCACTACAGAAGATAAGTTCAGAGTCACATCAAAGATGGTAACTCAGCTCCCTCCCCGCCATGTCCCAGGAGATTCAACAGGAAGAAAACTGTACATATACATATAAGAAAACCCTTATGGCCATATGATCATAAACACTCTACATCATTTCTAAATAACCTGTCCTTAAGCAAGGCAGAAAAAAACCCCCAAAACAGATTCACCTTCATGGTCAGCCTGGAAAGATGCATAAAGCCATCAGGCCAACCCCGTCTCCTCCTCATTCACAACGGACTGGAGCACTCGTGGTCAGCTACCACATCGTGCTGGGACTCGAACCTCCGAAATCACACAAAGTCATCACTTGTCCTCAATACACAAACATATCATCACTATGTCTGCTGTCCACCAAAATTCCTAGAAAGTGATCTGATCTGATCTAGGCATACACAGCATTTGCCAAATAACTTCCATGGCTAAACCACAGGAAGTTTGGAGCCAGGAGATGTCCTGCGCCAGCTGACACGGCCATGAGTCAACTGCCCAAGTCCTCCCAACCCCCAGTAAATACCATGTGTCATCTTTTCAGTGTAGCA